CTGCACTTAGCACACGTAGCTATCAAAGCATCAGAATTTTCTTCAGAAACTAGGAAAGACAACTCCACCCTAAGCCTTTTAAAATTCCTTAAACCCAGTATTGACAGTCCTGTCTCGCCAATTAGAAATCCACAAGGTATGTATGGAGAATTATCATCTCTTATTAACGATTCACAGCATATTCGAATAGGCAGTCTGTGTCCAGTAATCTTCAAAATTGAGACTTCAGTGAGTCGTGTCACAACGTTAGAATCTAAAGATTTCAAGTTCTTGGATGAAATAATGGACTATACTGCCTGTGTTCACAATAAAGTCATGACATGAACCAAGCGATGTATAAAGTTGCTTTTGAATATGAGTATTACCTTTAGAAATGGTGGGCAAAGATAAATGATTATGAGGAACAGCCAAATTATTGGGATCTTAATTATAAGATCCGGTACTACTTGAAGAAAAATGAACGGTAGCTTTGCCTACTGACTGAATGTGTCCTATCTTACCACATTTAAAACATTTAGCATTACGAAATGCACATGAATTCCGAAAATGAAACTTTCCACATGATAAACATTTACCAAACTTCATCTCACTTTGTGATTTGCTTTGTAATTCCTTGTTGAAACACCTTTCATATTTACACGAGAATAGGAATCACTGTTAAACGAACGCAAGTTTGATTGACCCTGGGATAGTAGTTCATTATGACGATTAAGCAAAGTATTAGAAATTTTCATCGACTGGATATCAAGTCCATTCACCGCCTCATATTTAATACACGCAGTTCTAGCATGTTGAAAGGAACAGTTCGGCATTTTTAACAGCTCTCTTTCCAAACCCAGTATATTTATTTCTGCAACTAATCGATCTCTCAGTTACACATGAAGTTGATCACCAAAATTACATTTGGCAGCTTGTTTCTGCAATTCAAGGATGAATTCCTTAACCTTTTGGTCATTTCGACGAACCATCTTATGAAACTTCGCCCTTTCACGACATTCAAAACTGGTGCACCTTACATGATTTAATAATAGCTCCTTAGGAGTTGCATAAGGAAGTGAAATAATTTTTTCTGGATATGCCAAAGTTCTTAATAAGCTGTACGCTTCTCTTATGATGAATGTTAGGAAATGTGCCACAATCTTATCACCTTTAACATCTTTCTTGGTTATGATCCAGATTTCAAACCTTTCCAAATAATCCTCAAAAGCTTTCGAAGTTGAATGAATATCTAACTGTTTCATCCCAGGCTCCTTAGCGAAGCCAATATAATAGTTAGGAGTATTTGAATTGTAGTATGAACTAAGAATCCCAGAAATAACACAAATGGATCATGAAGTACTCGATAAGCACAAATGAATGTACTGTATTTGGAATTCGGAATCAAGCATTTGACAAGTACAAAGGAATCATTGGTTCATTCAAACATCATCCAAATCTCACTTCATTATTTATGTATTGCTGAGTCCTTTCTGTAATGTAAGTGGCACCATCTATTCCTATTGTTCCAGTAACATACTTGTCAGATTATTTACACAATTAATTCTTCTTTATTCCCTTCTTTAAGACCAACCTAATAACCTTCTAAATACTACAGGACCCTGATAAATGTGCCGAACGTTATGTGAATAATATGGAAACGTTTACATAGTTGCGTTTCTGAAGAGACTGGAAACAGTTTATTCACAAAACCTGTGCATCAATGAGCTATTTTTGAACAATGATAATTATTGCATGATCAACGGTATTCTGTTCAAGCGTCCAGGGTATGGAAACCAAGACAATGTGAGTGGTTTTGCGGAATGAAGAGTAAAGTCTACAGTGTCGTTCCATCATTTTTGATGGATCTATGTTTATTACTTGCACAAGCAGTATTACCTCTATTCATCTTCAAAACAAACCTCGACAATCATGAGAAAGTCCATTCCTGAGTACGTTTTTTGAATGACAGAATAAATTTATGTGAAAAGGTTTCACCATATACTTTAATCTTTTCTACACACATTATCTCGAGTATTTGGTTGACCGATTAGTTTTGCCTCTAATTCCGTATATTGCTTTATAAGACAACCTTAAGAGATCAGGGACTATCAGAATTTGATGAGGATACAGTTAGAAAACACTTCTAAAGCAGTGAACTCAAAGCCGATTAAACCGGCAGTTTAAACTGATGAGATGTAAACATAAACTTGGATTAAAAAGCAGTGTGGAATTGTTCATGGGATATAAGCCATCTAATTATCATGGGAGATATGAGGAACAGAGTACCCAATCGTGATCAGATGCTGATGCTTGACGACGCACCTTCGACTAGAGGTGTATTCGGATAAACCGTTAAAGTCAGCGTCAGTAACGAAGACTTACGTGATCAATTATTTTGGGGACTTATTTATTGCTACATACTCGTTACTCAGTCAATGTAATTTCAATTCTTGTTTATGTTTCTAAGTCACATATAATCAAACGGCTTGCTGTCTGACAACACGAAAGCTTTAGTTTTCAGACACTTGGAACAAGTGCTATTCCTGTTGTACTCAGAAGACCTTTCTAGTCCCCTGTCATCAATAACTTGCATTTATGCTAACGATGTTGAGAGACAGAAAGCGATAAGGACTGGGGTCGACATTTCAGGCCTCCAGAGTAATAAACAGAAATTACCCGGATGGTCTGTCGCCTATAAATGTTATGACATTCCCTGTCGATAATCACATGACCAAACCGCCACTCAGAAGATCGGCGTATATGACCTTGATACAGTGCCAAGTCAATGACGCATTATTCAGTATGAGCAGCCCAGAGTCAACGCTGAGTCCTTATTGGTTCTTTTTGCCTATCTTTACCCTCTGAGTCTAGGACACAATCCTAGCTTACACTGTATGAATAACGCATTTCCGACACACCTAATTTATTTACAACCAAACCAGACCTCAGCAGGCCACAAAATAAAAAATAAAAATTATACAAGATCAAGCTAACAAGTATTTGTGGTTGTGAAAACCTGTAACTAGTGAACTGGGATTAAATTAAGTATAGTAAATCTTATAATAGTAGTCAGTAGGTCAAACAAAAGCTTCCGATAAAAGAAATATAAAAATACATAGTCTAGATACTTAACAGTTATATAATGAGAATGCGTACAATAGCAGTCTACAAATAGTTTCCGGAAGTTACCCATAATGTAATCTACAGATATGACAACAAACGTATGCAAGTGTATTATAATCTTCATTAGTCACCCAGGTACAAACACAAACAATACCGAGCGACCCTTTGTCCAAATATGTGGTTATAGAAGCTGTTGCCAGACAGGGATTAAAAGCCACTGCATACTGACAGACAAGTTCCACAAAAACGTTAAGAACCCCCTAGCCAGTTCATGTGGTTCTTATTCACGTAGGTGTACTTGTTCATCAGACCTAGGCTTTTAGATTGTGCACATTCGGTCAGGCTCAGACTAAAAAGCATATAGTTTTTAAATAATGTTAAAACAATCCTGAATATGTTAACTTCCAGAAGCACAAAGCTGATGTATAACGAGAAACAGGTCAAACTAAATATATTGTTCGCTTAACACGCAAGGAGCAGAGGTAACTTAACCACAGGTTTTAAACTAAGTAATAATAATTTCGCGCGTAAAATCCTTCATTCTTATTGTATCTTAAAAGAGAGTATTTGAAGAGACACTCCACAATTTCACAAGCCCTGGAAATGTTGTTTTTCCATAGAATCATCATCTAGTGGAGCTTCAGAACTCAGTACATGGCATAAGCTATATATATTGACATGTTTGTAGCGCCATATAGACTTTAAAATCAATAGTTATGTATGTTATTGACATTTGATGCTAACAACATTAACCTTAAAGGACCAACTTAGCTGGAAACATTCGGTCACGCATCCGCACCAGATCACGAGTGGGTAAGCCATGCTACACATCCCTTTCAACTATTAGTCAGCTTAGATAAAATATTCCTCGACATAACGACGACCTTCTAAATATACCTCCGAACTCCTTCATTTCTGGTTTCTAATTTGAGCGAGTTGGCACACTTCGATCAAAAACGTGTTCCTGGTTGAGCTGTTGTCAAACTCTGAATGCTTGTGGCATTCCTTATGCATCTCCAAGAAACCGACTTAAGATGTTTGCTCTAGAATCTGAGTTCGTTTTTTTCGGCACACGGGTTAACGGTGTTGAAATCAACGAAATCAAGTTTTTGATAATCACATCTGTTTGTTTTATTGAGCCACAGCGTTAGTATTTCAAGGTCAGTCTTTGAGTGGGTGCATAAAATTGTATGGTGATACGTTGGCTAGTAGCAATTAGACTTTACGCTAACTATATTTACCTCATGGAGAATTCATTATTTTTCATGTATTCCTAAAGCTCAGTGAATAATGACATTTTAGCTCTATAAATTGCATTATATTCAGGTATCTAGAGTTTGGCAGACCAGAAAGCTGATTTGGTGTCGTATCGCATCTACTTAGCATATGCTCAGTTAACATGTAGGCTTCTGGAAATATACTGATTATGTTTATCAGTGTTCTAGTTAGGGCTTTACTCAGGAGTTATTTATGAAAGTCTCGATATAGTTTATCTAATCAATAACTTTTATTCTTAAACATTTCTAAACAAGAAGGTTGTGTAAATTCAAATGATCATGGGACTAACTGTTCGTTTAATTCCAAGTAGTTTAACTTATGTATGTATGCATGGAGTTATCAGTTTCTCTCATTTTTCCTATTTCCTAAAGGAATTCATTGAAATACCTTATGTTGAGGATTCTATACTTTACCAAAAATGTAATACTGAATAAAGCCATTAATGGTACCGAGTGTTTGGAACAGGACTTTATAATGTCTTGAACATATTTTCTTATCTTTTATACACAATCCCTACTGATACATCTGCGTATTTTTGTAATGTTATACTTTATAACGCTGCACATATGTCCATTAATTACTCCAAATATTTATTAAACTTCATTTGTTAACAATCGTAGAGTATTCAAATTCAATGGATTCGAAATTCAAATTAATGGATGATGATAAAGAAAATAACAATGAGCTATCACTGGACGTCGAACAGGCTATTCGTAGCAGTTCAGTATGATGAGTTGTAAACATTTTAATGCTCCTCACTTTTTTAGATCATGTCCAAAGCTCCAGTCGTGAAATATCTAAACAAATCTCATGGTAGTCTGTAAGTATTCATTCGTTCTTTTACATCAACAGTGCACCATTTGCTGGTGTTTACTGTTATAAGGTTTGGGTATCTGATGAACCACCAAACAGATCTCGCCATTACGCTTATCAAGTAGGTGGGGTTTGGTAAATATTTCCTTTAGGTTATTACAACAAATTCAATACAAAAAGTTTATGTCACGTCTATGCGTGTGTGGCCGATAACGTTTTCTTTTCGACCACCAGTGACTCCTATGAATTTTTGGATTCGAATTACACCACTGTTTTCGTATGCAGAAAAGTGTGGTGAAGTCGTTCAAAGGTTTGGGAATTTTTATTTTATATTTTATACTTTAGGTGCAAAAAGCACGAGATTCAAACATCTGGTACCTACATATCGAAGGGAAAATCATTTGTTGAAATTCTTGGGGAAAGTTCGGAGTATGTGTTGGGCAGCCCCCTCTCAAATTGCCCTCGTGACCAAATTACCGTCCGTACACCTATTGATGTGCTCCATCTCCTTCACTCCAAGTCAGAAGCTCCATCTAACACCGCCGATTCGGATATCTCATTATTACCAGAAGTGAGGGGGGTTTTGTATTGTAGACTAAGCTGTTACAACAGTTGTTTTGGTCTAACAGCTCGAGGTGAAATTGAGTTAGTTATTACCCTTGAAGCAAAGAATGAGTGAGTCGTTTTATTCCACAAGTCGCGGTTTCGGTTTTAATAATTTGCGATCCGTTTTTTTGTTTTATATGCTAAAATTTAATCCTTCTTTGAAATGTGTAGTCCGCTATTTTTATGGATCAAATCACAAAGATGGTTTTGGTTTAGTGTACTGTCTCAAATATTCAATCTATTTTAGACGTCCATATTAACTATTATGTATTTACTAACCGAATTATCAGTGGTTTAACTTATTGCGTGCTAGGATACGATCTCAGATTTGCAAGATGACATCAAAGCTTTACTGGTGAGTAATTCTGAATATGAATATTGAAGTTTTCTGGTATATGAAAACGGTCTGTTAATTGGAGACCAACAAAATTATTGAGTCTGTTTAGCGCTTATCTTCAAAATAAGGCGTACTGTAATAATGAAATATAACACTTATAGATCAACAAATATCTAGAAACTTCGACGATTTTCTGAACATATGTCCTTAAAATGAGTTGTGCGGATAAAAAGTAGCTTTATGTTAAAGTATAATAAAAATGTCTTCCGTAACTAAGAATATTAAGGACCTAGCTATCCCTCATTAACTTGAGTTACAAAGCATTTTAGTTGTTCTCTAGTAACCTTTTGTTCATCAAAATATCATTTGTAACTTTGTTTAAATTGTAATGTGTAGTAATATATAACTCTTAAAACCATTGCTTTTCTGGAGAATAACTTGAGTGAACCGGCAAAAATGCTCTTCGCTACTTTCAAAATCTTACTGTTGTTTGATAAACTAGTGGTGTGGTTGATCATATCAAGTTTAGAGTCGTTAATAGATCAACTTTAATAATAATTAGCTCAGTAATATACTATCGAAAGTGATTTACTTGCTTATAGGCTGCTAAATTCACAAAACACACCTATTTAGTCTCATGATTCTACAAAACGACCACTTCTGTGGCTGTTGATAAATAAGATTTCAATCTTATTCACGAAACTGCAGTTACGAATATTGTTAAAATATCTGTGTGCAGTTAGTATCGATGTTATTCAAACATTCAGTATTGTTTGATACGTTACTATGCAAGAGGTTCTCATTAATGGTCAGATGAAATCATCCTGATAGTCTTTTGAAATTTGTATTTGAATTTAGTATTTATTTATTTAAGCACGTAAATTCAGTTACAATAGTGCACCGAAAAATGGATTAATAAAATAAAGCGATAATTTTTAAACAAATAAAAGAGGAAATGGCTAGTACAGCCAATAAATAAATCTACGAAGATGGTATTTATCGCAAGACACAGTTCAGTTAAAAATACAACCAAAAAGACTGTTGGAGGAACTCGTTTCACTTTTACGAAGAGTGTAATAGAAAGCGGCGAAAGGATCGCTACTGGAATCAATTTTGAATAATAAATGATGGCATCCGAACCCGCCGAGCTACATATATGGGACTCCAGTCAAAGTCGTGATGGACCGACCGATGCTAGTCCTATACGGTTGTCTTTTGTCCCACAACGCTGTCATAAAATGTCTTATTTAGTTCATTCAGAGCTTTATATCTTCAAGTCATATTGGAAATATTTTTTAATTCATGATAAATATTTTGATTGCTCCAGTGAATCAGTTAATCAAGAGAATTTCACAATCTTTGGCCTTGACAAAATACGTGTTCGTTGTTGTTCTTGTCCGACGAGAGATGCAAAATCTGATCACAAGCTTTCATCCAATATTTTAGGATCGTGTTCCACCGGCATAAGTTCTAGAAGGTTATCACTTAGTTTATCTGACCATTCAAATATTCGAATAGTAAGTTACTTACCAGAGTCATATATTTAATGAATTTAAACTGTTAAATTTATCAAAATTTAAATATATGGTTTTACAAGGGGTGTTCATAATGAAGATTAGCTTGTACATAATCAGACTCACTAGTGGGGTTGTGAGCACGTACTACTAACGAGTCATGAACTAAAACGACATAGCCATTCAGTACTCCCTGGTTTTTCTCAACCGACAGCCTTTCATAATATAATATACTTTAAAAAAGCGTGATACTTCATTACATCCGCACAGTCATCATCAAAATAAAGCCTGTCACAAACTTTCGTTAGCCAATGTTACTATACCACATAAACAGAGTAGGATGAAGGTAGCAACGTGAATAGCGAGTGAGTCGAAATAATAGCAGTATCCGTTATAGTGAGGACAGGTAAACTGAAAAATGTGTTTCAAAGAGGATGAAATTTAAGAACTAAAAAGTATGAAATAATTTGGTGTTTTGCAATAAAGTAAATGCACCTGAATGCCTATGACTGGTTCTGAGCCATATCGCTCAAAATTTCCAGTCACTGATCTCGGCAATTGTGTTGACAACAACCATGAAACTTATATCTCCCCACACTGCTCATTCCAAAATCCACTGACTTCACAGACAGATGCTGTTTACCGTATTGTAACCTAACTTGACAATCGTATTTACAAAGTTTTCAACCATTGTTTAGTTTGCTCGGGTGATACATTTGTTGATATTAAACGACCATGGAGATTAGCGGTCACCAATTATTGTGTAAAATACTAAATACTTCAATTTTTCGTGGTACATTCTATTTGTTCTGCTGCTTGTCAGTACGCATCCTCTTAAAAATCAAACCCATTTCATTATTAATCGAGTTCACTTAACGTACTTATATTTGATTCAGAAACAAGCAAGGATCTGTAAATATTTTCATTACCGAAGCGATCATCGTTTCAGTTCACAATCACTTTACTGTTTCATATAATACATTTACTGTGTATAAGGTAATTAAAAGTCCTCTTATTCTGTTTTTCGGATTGAAGTACATGTAAGGCTTTTGAACCCTATGAATCACTAATACATAAAAGTAAATCACGCTATATTTCTATTTTCAATACACTTACAAGAATGGTTTGTGTATGAAAAATATAAAACTGTCATATATCACCTAAAGATGTTTATTTTAAGTCTAGTGGTTTTTTGGGGGGCAGTTCTATTTTGAATAGTTTTCATCAAAGTTGGAGATCAACTAAAAATAATCCTTTCGCTACTCACTATTTTGTCATAGTTTAATATTTCTCAGTCGCTGTGTGTAAACATGACTTCACACAAAATGAAACCCAATCTCTCAGTGAATCAGTCTGTTGGTATTCAATTTTACACACTCCATGTTCAATCAGTGTGGCGCATATATATTGGCGCTCTCTTGTACCAATATTTATGTGTTCAAATAAATAAATAAATGTTCAATCAGTTCTCATTATCTTATGCGATTGGTTAGTTGGACATTGTGTTTGTAGTTGTGTATACTTCTAATGACTTATCAACTACAACGAAATAGCTGCCCCTAATTCTCTGGTTTGTGGCAGTTCTCTAAGTGATATATTAATCCATCATGAGAACAATATTAAAATTATATCTCTTTTATAACTTTTCACATTTTCGTCAACAGGCTTTTATGTATCATAGTAGCACAAACAGTTCTAGGTTGTTTAATCTCGTTCGTACTCTTGTTTTGTGCTTTCAGAATACTGGAATTTCAAGTGCACGAAATAGTTGTCCCAGTAAAATACAAAGAGTTGAAAACGAAGACTGTCAAGAGTCATACTCATCTATTATTTTTAACAGTAAAAAATATTTCATTACCATGGTTAGTCTGATAGAATTTATTTGCTTTTTCTTCACTGTTCTGTTCTTCGTCGGATAATATTCAGTTATCGTGAATCCTAATTACTAACAGTTCCTAATCGAGTGATATTATACATTTGTTTTTTCAAGTTTACACAGTTAACGCTTAAAAACACATTCAGTCATAATCAACATAAAACCTTGCACAAACGTGCGTTAGCCTAGGTTGTCATAGCAGGTCAGTCTAACGAGATGAAACTGACAAAATGAATCGTTGATGAGTAGAAGTAATTGTGGTACCAATGATAATGCGACAGACTAAACTCTAGGAGTATATGTTTTGAAAAGGAGGTATTGAAAGATGTTTATGGAGGAATAAGAAACTCAAGATCTATATAAAAATAGAATGCGTCTGTACAACTGTATCACGTCACTCGATCTCTAACTATTAGTCGCGGCGATCTCACTAACACTGACAAGGAATTCTCCGTACATCAAAACGAGTTAGTTCTATGGTCAATAACTTCATTGTGTAATCCGGAGTTTTTGTTTGGTCGTCTCTTCCGGTCTACTCTTATTCTAGATAACTTTGAAGGCACCAGATAGATATGCACCACATAAATCATTCGATTTGTGTGAGTGCTAAGATACTGCCCCGGGTGCCCAAACCGAACCAGGTGGTTTTATTAGGGGACCACACCCGGAGCCTTCGACCTAAAGGTCTAATCCCCAAGGCAGTGGAGCAGCGTAAGGAGATGCAGTCTCATGGTAGCCGGTGACCAACGATTGGTCCATACGTCATTTGTTTCTTCAGGATCTTGAAGCCCATGTGCACCAGTGGTTTGGAATCAGGGGTTTCCAACTCCCCTAGGTGGACCCTCCTTATCCACCAACCCCGTCAAAGCGCTGGACATTCTCTTTTTGTTATCTGAACTTCGTAAACAACAGTAATTATGCGAAAAGGCAGTGTATAGGGCTTCCATGGCAGCGGTCTTATTCACGTAGCCATGTGAGAGCATTTCGAGAGGGAGAGTTGACTCTCCCCACTCTCGGCCGTATCAGGGCATTTGGGGGCGAGGTAGGCGGTTGTCGGGCATACGTAACACATGTCCCCAAACTACCATTGGTGATTAACAACTTCACCAATCGATTTGCTGTCTGCTTAATACCTTGTATCCGACCTCAGCATTGGGTACTCAGGTACGCGAGTAATGCTCCTAAGGTGCTTATAATCAAATCTTGTGTCATTTCTCCTACTTTTATAGACCATTTCTCAGAATCATAAAGTAATACAAAGCGGACCGCTAAGCAGTATACTCGCACCTTGGTTGGCAGATGAACATCTCACCTACGCCGCAAATGAAGTGAGTTGGTAGAAGCCAACCGAGATTTTGGTGAACATCAACCCACCAGGGTTAATGAAACTCGATATTAATGAAATAGTCAATCATTGGACTCAACTATTTTACTCTCAATTGGTTCAGGCATTTATGTGGACAGGCCTGAAGCAACATTTCACACGCTAATGCAGGAGGAAAATCCGTTCTAAACATGGCTAAATTATTGCTTAAGATTATCAGAAGACTGCTTTTTGTCAGCAATTTTACGAAACAGAACCATATCATCTGTGTATTCTAAGTCAACAAGTGCATCTACTCGTAGGAGACCAGACTCAGACGATGAGGGCGTTGTTTCTAAGCGAATGTCTATGGCAAATATAGAAATGGAGAAACCGGACAATTTTGACGAACATCACCTGAAATTATTTTTACCAAATAGGAGTACATCATCTTATTTTGCGTGATGATTCAGTACAACGATATATATATATATATATATATATATATATATATATATATATATATATATATATATATCATGGTTTTTGAAATGCATTATTTCTCAATACTTAGAGGAACTTCGTGATATGTTTTTTAATGAATGTCTCATACCCATATTGGTAATGATCAAAAGACTGCTTAATAAGGGTTGAATAGTCCAACTATGTAGAAGGACAAAATAGATTGCATAGGAGATTGTATTTGCTAAGTGGACAGTACTTCTATTCAATGTGTGTTCATTGGATGTCAGAATGTTCCTGATTACATATGTGTAGACGGTTAGTTTAATTGTATGTGGCATATTGTACTGCCTTGGCACGTACCCCGGTTATATTGTTCAGTGTATTAACAACTCAGTGTTTAGATATAATACTTGTGGCCTAAAATTGTGGTTGGAACATTGTCAACTTTAGCTTTTTTTTCTGAAACAGGGCTAGCACAATTGACACAGCAACCGAAAACTAGTAAAATCCTTTGCAAAAAAAGTGTTCACGAATACGGATATTATTTTTTAACGTGTAGCGATGCTTATTATTACATACCTACATGATTTGTGCTGACTTTTAGACGGGCAAATTATTTTAATCTTTCCATCTGTCCCGTCACTTTATTTGCCATTGTCAATTATTCAACTGTAACCCTGATCACTACTTTATAATTGTGTGCATGATAGTACGTGTGTGTCGATCCACTTCCTATATTTCTTATATGACTTACAGAAACTTAGTCACTTTGTTATTCCGTGTATTACTGATTTCCAATGCTTTATACAATTGTCACGTCATTCATTTGCTTTTCTACCGCTCAGTGTTAGCATGTCTGAAATATTGCGTATCCCAAATACAATTCATATTTGGCTTTTATCATTTACATTGTATCAATGTGGTTTGTTGAGAGAATGTGTAGAAAGTAAATAGTACATACGTTTCTTCAGCGTCATTATGAAGTCAACAACCGTCATTAAAAACCTATTACATACACACAAGGTCTTTGTAATAAATTACTCTTGTAGGGGGATTTATAACGATATATCGTCAGCAAAAGTTCACAGAAAAGTGATCGACAACAATCATAAGTCAGACATCATTAAAGTAATGGACACTTGTGAGGCTCGATTAACTGCTTTGATAAATCATAAATATCACTTTCTTATCCGACATTGTTTTTACTAATTAATACAGATAACCATTAAAGGATTTTTGTTAACTGATATTTCTAGTTACAAAGTAGTAAAACTTTAGTGGGTGGTTTACTAGGTCTTTTTTCCAAACATAATTTTTATATTATCTCATTTGTAGAAAGCGATCATATACAGTTTGTCTAAAATAGTGTTTTTCAGTATAATTCCCCCCGTAAAATATTTTCCTTCTTCATTCTTAATTACTTTTATAGACTGATGATCCGGAAGTAAAGTCAGCGAACACCACACTGAGGGATTTATCAGCTTTAACATCTGAAAAATGGACATGTTCTCATTCTCGAAATCGCGCACTGAAACGTATTAAAAAGTTTTATCGGAATTTGGAAAGTTATGTTACTGACTGGTTAGTTTTTTACATAAATCATAATCTTTTTTACCTTCATAAGTATTTATTGTTATATGAAATTAGATAATATGAAGGCTGAAAATAAGTGTATTAATGTAATACCCATTAATACCCGCAGTTTGTTTTTATGTTATTTTCAGTGCCTTGTCAAATGACAACTGTTGTTTTTTTCAAAATAAAACACCGTTCAAGTTAAACAAATTTGGAGACCACCATTCATATAGCAAAAATCAATCATTTACTACGGTAGATGACTTATGCAAGGGGTATATGAGACCAATTGTGTTTAGTTCAATTGAGTTATACTGGATAATATGGGTTTATTGATATATATTTTTAATCGAGTATCAGATACCTTTGATTGACAATGGTTGGAAATCAATCGGTCACAAGGAAATGGAAGAAGACATTCCTAAAAGTTGTTTTAGAACTGTGTTTAGTTTCCTACTGTTACTACTACTAATATGACTAGACTTTCTTTCATTTCCTGTCTTTTTAATTTCCTCTCCGTGTGTTGATGTAACAACTCTGGAGTTGATGTATATTTTAATCCAGATGCTAACGTTATTTGTAACTGACATTCTAAAGTATGGATTAACGTACTTGAAATCATTGAGATATTTATTTGACGGCGTCCCCATCCCGTAGAAAACTAACTCGCTAAAAATACGCTAACCAGAAAAAATCATTCGAACCTTTTAAACTCTGCCCCGGGAGTCAGGAGGTCTTCATTTAGAAGAACTATGACGCCTTATGATGAAAGCCAAATTCCTTCGGAAGTCACGAGGCCGATGCCCCTTCTGACAACCAGAGCGACCATTTATTTAGGTACATGGAATGTTCGTACAATGTGGGACACCGGGAGAGCCTTCCAAATTGCTGCAGAAATGAGGAGATACAATTTAGAGGTGAGTGGGATCAGTGAAACACATTGGACCCAAGCTGGACAACAACGACTAGCTTCAGGGGAGCTTCTGTTATACTCCGGCCATGAAAAAGAAAATTCCCCACATACACAAGGAGTTGTATTGGTGCTGTCCAAACAAGCACAAAATGCACTTATAGGATGGGAATCTCATGGACCAAGGATCATCAAAGCCTCCTTCAAAACAAAGAAAGAGGGCATTTCAATGAACATCATCTAATGCTATGCGCCTACCAACGACTACAATGAAGACGCTAAAGATCAATTCTACGATAGGCTGCAGTCAATCGTCGAGAAGTGCCCAACAAAGAACCTGATCATTCTGATGGGAGATTTCAATGCCAAGGTTGGAACGGACAACACTGGATATGAAGACATCATGGGACGACACGGACTGGGAGAATGAAACGAAAATGGTGAGAGATTTGCAAATCCATGTGCCTTCAATAAGCTGGTTATAGGCAGCACCATATTCCCACATAAACGCATACACAAAACCACATGGAATTCACCGGATCACTACACAAAACCAAATCGACCATATTTGCATCAACAAAACTTTCAGGAGGACTATAGAGGACGTGAGAACCAAGAGAGGAGCTGATATAGCATCAGATCATCACTTGCTGGTCGCCAAGATGAAATTGAAACTCAAGAAGTACTGGACAATGGGGCGGAAAATATCACAAAAGTTCAATACGACCTTTCTTCAGGACACTAACAAACTCAACAAATTCAAGATAGACCTCAGCAACAAGTTCCAGGCCTTTCATAATCTACTCAATGGAGAAGGAACTACTGTGGAGAGCAACTGGAAGAGGATAAAAGAGGCAATCCCTTCAACATGTCATGAGGTCTTGGGCCACAAGAAGCACCATCACAAGGAATGGATCACTGTTGATACACTGGATAATATTCAAGAAGGCAGCGATCAATACCAGCCGAACAAGAGCAGAAAAAACCAAGGCACAAGCTGAATACACAGAAGTAAACAAACAAGTGAAGAGGAGCATCAGAACCGACAAACGTAAATTTGTGGAAGATTTAGCAACGGCGGCGGAAAAGGCTGCAAGAGAAGGAAACATGAGACAACTGTATGACACGACAAAGAAACTCTCTGGAAATCGCCGCAAACCAGAACGACCAGTGAAAAGCAAGGAAGGCGAGGTAATCACCAACATTGAAGAGCAACAAAACAGGTGGGTAGAACACTTCAAAGAACTCTTGAATCGACCAGCTCCACTGAACCCACCCAGCATCGAAGCAGCACCCACGGACCTCCCAATCAATGTTGGCCCACCAACAATTGAAGAAATCAGCATGACCATCAGACAAATCAAGAGTGGCAAAGCAGCAGGATCGGACAACATTCCGGCAGAGGCACTAAAAGCAGACGTAGCGGCAACTGCAAGGATACTTCACATTTTCTTCAATAAGATTTGAGATGAGGAACAAGTACCAACAGACTGGAAAGAAGAAAGGCGATCTCAGCAAGTGTGATAACTACAAGGGCATCACTCTTCTCTCAATACAGGGAAAAGTCTTCAACAGGGTATTGTTAAACAGGATGAAGGACTGCGTAGACGCCCAACTTCGTGACCAACAGGCAGGATTCCGTAAGGATAGATTGTGTACATACCAAATCGCAACTCTACGGATCATTGTGGAACAATCAATTGAATGGAATTCATCACTCTACATCAACTTCATTGACTACGAAAAGGCATTTGATAGCGTGGACAGAACAACACTATGGAAACTTCTTCGACACTACGGCGTGCCTCAGAAGATAGTCAATATCATACAGAATTTATATGATGAATTAAACTGCAAAATCGTGCATGGAGGACAGTTGACAAAGTCGTTCGAAGTGAAGACCGGTGTTAGGCAAGGTTGCTTACTCTCACCCTTTCTCTTTCTCCTGGTGATCGACTGGATCATGAACACGTCAACATCTGAAGGGAAGCACGGGATACAGTGGATAGCTAGGATGCAGTTAGACAATCTAGACTTCGCAGATTATCTGGCCCTCCTATCCCAAACGCAACAACAAATGCAGGAGAAGACGAACAGTGTGGCAGCAGCAATAGGTCTCAATATACACAAAGGGAAAAGCAAGGTTCTCCGATACTACACAGCATGCACCAATCCAATAACAATTGACGGAGAAAATTTGGAAGATGTAAAATCCTTTACGTATTTGGGCAGCATCATTGATGAATATGGTGGATCTGATGCAGATGTGAAGGCGCGGATCGGCAAAGCAAGAGCAGCATATTTACAACTGAGGAACATCTGGAACTCAAAGTAACTATCAACCAACACCAAGGTCAGGATTTTCAATACAAATGTCAAGACAGTTTTACTGTATGTGGTGGAAACTTGGCGAACTACGGAAGCCACCATCCAGAAAATACAGGTGTTTATTAACAGTTGTCTACGCAAAATACTTCGGATCCGTTGGCCGGACACTATCAGCAACAACTTAATATGAAAGATAACAAACCAGATTCCAGCGGGGGAAGAAATCTGGAAGAAGAGCTGGAAGTGGATAGGACACACATTGAGGAAAGCACCGAACTGCGTCACAAGGCAAGCCCTCACATAGAATCCTCAAGGCCAAAGGAAAAGAGGAATACCAAATAACACATTACTCCGGGAAATGGAGATAGACATGAGAAAAATGAACAAGAATTGGATGGAACTAGAAAAGAAGGCTAAGGATAGAGTGGGCTGGAGAATGCTGGTCGGCGGCCTATGCTCCTTTGGGAGTAACAGGCGTAAGTAAGTAAGTAAGGTTGTAGGTATATCGATTTAAATAGAACAGTGGTTTTTGTCACGGATTGGCATCAACTGATAATAACTCGTGACAAAACACGCCATAAACTCCTTCTGTGTTCTAAGCTAAGGGACCAAATTTGACATGTCTATTAATTATGTCTGGTCCCACATGGTGACTCATCCTAGGCTCTACAACTATTGTGTGGTTAATTGATAAATTGTGTATGCCTGAAGCAAAACATGACTCATATGACCTTCTGTTATAGCCCAAAGCCGCCAATCAGAAGCAGCGAGTTATCGATCGAACCAAGGACGCGTAAAACACGTACGAGCAGTCTAGACCCCTGCTTTCGCCTAGCCCAGCCAGTTAAGCCCAGAACGCCAATCTCAGCCTCTGCAATATGAATCATTATATTTCAAACATACCGAGTTTATGTACCAACCAAACAGACCACAACGTACCAATAAAATATGAAACAACATTTGTACGAGAACTAGCCAGATGTGGCTGTGAATGAGGGAGGCAGTGACTAATTGACAAGGAACAATTCAAGAATAGAAAATCGTATAATAACAGTTCATAGGTTAAAATAAAGCTTATGATAAGATGAACATGAATATGAATAGCTTAATTAATTGACAATTATACGATAAAAATATACGCACAGTATTGGTCCATCAATAGTTCCCAAATGTTACCATTCATTATTCTTGTCGGGACATAACACTTTCGTACCCGTGTGACATATGTATCAAATCTAGTCTATGAAAACAGTTAATCGCACTTTGGTTTATTAATCACACTGCTTACAATAATTGACACTGACAGTAGTGGTCACGTTTTTCATTGGCGTTACAATGTTATGTAATTTGGAAGAAGTGTATAATAGAAAAGTGAATGATGGATTACAGATTGATTGGCAAGTTTTTTTTCTTCTGAATAACCACCAAGTGAATTTAAACTTCACCCTATTGCACAAGCAGTTGGCTATCAGGACTCAGTAGCTAAGTGGTTAACGCTATGGCGTTTGAAGCGAACGTTACTGGGTCCGAATCTCAAATAGGACGAGACGCATGTCATGGATTCCACTGCTAGCTACTATCCATCTTTGCTTATAAAACTTGTGACTTAAAGCAATATCGAGGTGATCCGCACAGGATGCACATATACCGACAATAGACTGATTAATTGCAGTCCTAATTAGCAATTGGAAGATACAAGCAAACAACACCAATTGAACTTATCACAGTCTATTCTGTCGTGTTTGCTCTTAATCTCTTTACAGTCGTATTTTTATGATATAATATTAAATAGTAGACATGTGTTATGCAAATACAATTGTAAGCAACCTAGGAGAAGTCATAAAACTAGGTGAATTCATATTGTTCTAACATTCAAGTTCATTAAGAGAGCTAATTCTCTGAAAACCTTTTCTGTAAAATACTGAGAAGCTTGGTTAAAAATAATTGAGCTAACATCTAACTACGTGACAGTCATCATATTTTACCGATGAAATAAATGAAACCATGCAGTTCTCTACTTAACAAATTGTAACTACTCGTGATTTTGTTTATCGTAATGCTATAATATCAATTCCAGAATTGCTCCTATTAGTTGGGATTTGAATTTCGACTTAATGAAGTTCATACTCAAAACTACGTGTCTTTACATCTAAATTGACCGAAAAATTGAACAGTTTGCTTGCAAATGTTTTCAGATTATGAAGATTATCTTCTCAATAACAAATAGAATTCAGTCAATTGTACGTATTTAAAGCGTTGATTCAGACTACTGTCTGTTTAAATTTGTTAGATTTTTTTCCAAACACTGTGGAATCTATCGACCACCATACTTGTGAGCAGATTCCGATGAAACCGTTCACGTGCTAAATATCATAGGATGAGCATAGTTTCGTTCTTTAAATTACTTAAATAACAGGTGAAATCTCGTTTAAAACAGAAATACCTAAGATTTTTCCCCTAAAATAATTTCAACCTATCCAACTTTTAACGTATTCTTAAATTACCTGGTTGATTACGTTTTCCTATCCCCAGACTCGACAAAGTAGTGAGTTTGTATCAACAAGGAATAATTGTAACCAGAAAATGAATATGGTCTTCCTGTATGACTGATACTGATACAATGCAGGGACTTCTTGGCACATTCGGGGATAACATACAGATGTTTGAAAATCGGTTTTCATCAGTTAGTATTCGATTATATAGTATAGCAGAAAAGATTGCATTAATTCATTATTAGGTGTTAACATTTGGTAGTTGCAGACTGTTTATGCTATTGCTCACTATGAGATAAAGACTTATTTTTATTCTTAAATTTCAAAAATGTATTCCTGTTTTTGACAATAGCCTTGAAAAATCATTATCCGTGGCATAGATAGTAGTAGGACCACATGTACCAATCCTCATGTTTCGTCAACGAAACCAAAGTGAATACAACGTAGGACAACCGTTTTTTTTGTTAAGTGATCACTGTATCTAGATAAATTCAATTGAATAAAACAAATTGTTCATGTTACATCTATCTGGATAACCAATTTACTCACCAGCCAAGTAGAAACAATGATTATGTTCACCTTAGTGACTAATCTGGAGATATTTTCTCAAAATCCTATCTGGAGGTCGTGACTAGTGAAGTTCAACCATGTCAGATATCACCGATGACGTTTAATAGTCGTCGCACACATATCACAAGTTTACTGACACTCAAAACGCGGAGTGATTATGCACTGACTCGGAGGTCTGAAGTTGGAAGTGCGCTCACTGTAAGGCCTGGAAGTCTTAAATTCAACCTCCAGGTAGGGTTTTAGGTGTCCGATTCTTAGGAGTCTCAGACTAGGACAAAATATTCTTTGCTTTTTGATGGTTATTCAACTAAAATCAATCTGCTGTAAACAAATGCTAATTCAATTTGATTTGGTTTTAGCAACCGTCGATTCATGATTTTACTATATAATATTTCATTACTTACACTCAAGCCTTCTTACTGGTAACACGTTTGTGAAGGTTTAAAAAGTTTGCGATTTCTTAGCCGATAATTGGAACTTATCCGTTGTTGACGTATGCTAAAATATTTGCTCATGCTTTGAAGATGTTTATTATTCGTATAGTTACTGCTATGTCTTCTTGACCTGATATCGATTTGTACTTTTTACTCATTGTGTTCACTTGTATAATTTATTTCATCGTTGTGATTGATTCATCAATTGCCTTGCTTAGTTTAACATTAACATTTTTCATATATGGATTATTCATGAAGTTTTCGTTGTCCTTCTGGACAACTTCAACAGAAATGAGTTATTTAAATTTCTGTCCATGTAACTGATAGCTTATTGATAGGATTTTGTTGACTGTTGTCTTGTTGTTTGTTGATTGGAAGGACAATAAAAGCTCTATGTCTAAACTAACCAACTGAGAGGACGAAATTCCATCAAAATCATCCAACTGAACTATAAATCTGCACCAAATCAAGATATGCAAATAATCATTGTTAATCATTAATAGTTAGTTGTTTTATATATTGATATGCAAACGAAAGACATGTTAAATAATAAATTCTTTTGAATGTATTTTCATTATTGTCAATACAGTACCGTTAAAGAGTTATCTAGAAAAGGAAATGATTACATTCCACCCCAGGGATCTCAAGATAGTACAAGTTCAACTTCATCTACAGCTGATAAGGTTAGTCAGTGTTTTATAGAATACACTTTGATCTTATTATCAGTTACTTTTGTTTTAGTCATATTGTAAAACATGACATTAGGCGGAGGAGTTCTGCAATCTGAACTGTCTTCGAGACTGACCACCAAGTGTTCTGCTAACTCCGTGCTTTGATGCAGTGAAACTCCTCATTCTGTCTGGTAATTGCTACAACTTCCATGTCATGTTCCGCTACACACTACTTACAAACACCTTCATGGGTAGCGTCCACTACAATACTAGTGTTTACACTTAGTAAAGGGGATTTTTCTTCTCAATATGTGTGCTTGTTTTCTGGGTTATAAATACACGTACATTTCCCCTCAGCGTATGTCCTGGGTAAAAATAATTGGAATAATTAGTATTTAAACTTTTATTCACTATTAAACTATGTTGTAAATTCGGATTAAACTGCAGACTTTCACTAAGATTTCACGCTTTATCTAAACCAGCATTAACGATGATGTGATTCAAGACGCAGACTCAGTAGATCGATACTTATCCAGTTTAAATTCAAAACCAGGAACCTTTATATGTTACTAATACATTCAAATTATTACTAAGAATCGTACTTCAATTAAGGTGTTTGTTAGAACATTCCATCAAACCAGAGATTATGAAAAGGGCTAACAGACAGACAAAACAACATTTGCCTGAATTGAGCATTTAGGGTGAGGGGTCCCCACGGTCAGAACCTAAACTACTGAATATCCATGACCAAATGATCATATGACCGTCTCGGTCATTTATAAAATGTAGTGAGTAACTAGTCATTGGACAGATAAAATGCAATAAAAAGTAGAGTTAAAACATTGTTAGTGACTTATATAGGCCAAAGGGTATATCAAATGAAAGTAGTGAAAAAAGGAGTGACATATGTTATAGATGATATAACTTGTTAGAACTACGCACGTATACAGAACTTATGTTTATTAATAAGGTGAAGCTTATTCAACAACGTATTATTATATCCTAGCTAATCAGATTTCGCAGTTTTAAATCTTGATTGATTATCAAAATAAATAGTCAATCATTTTTTGAAAATTCAGGATATGAGATTATAATTATTAACAAATTAGTACTTATATTATTATTTCGATAATGCAATGAGAAGACGAAGGGTGTCAAGATTATGTGATGTTTGCGCAATACATTTTAAACAATCTGATCACACATATGAAAACTAAGAGGTCAACTAGACGGATTAAAGGTAAGCCGTAACAAAGATAAGTACATTCACTTGGCATTGTTTACTTGAATCTTCTTACTGATGTTTAGGACTACAGTTGATCAGTTTCATTGGCATATGTGCATACTGTGGACTTAGTGGGTAAGTGGATAACGCCATAGCATTTGAAGCGAACGGTATTGGGTTCTAGTCCCAGAGTGAACATCAACTCTGAGATACAGGTACATCCAGCTGACGAGTCCTAAGTAGGACGAAACGCGCGTCCTGGATTTCACTGCTAGCCACTATTCATCTTTGTCTATAAGTAAAGTACACAAAAACAATGTGAAAACCACTCTGGATAATAAATCAGTATTACCAGGGTAGGTTAAGTGTAAGGACAGATTGTTTTTGAACACATAAATAGGGTTTCAGTTCCCATATAGCCAAGGTTTCAATAAACTTTAGTACGCGCCCTTGAAGACTTTTGTACAACAAGACAAATGCTGACTTGATATCAACCTTATGACCAGTATCAACCAAATGTTTGGCAATGGGAGATGTCTGTTTATCCTGTGATCTTATTTGATCGTTGGAATTCATTTGTCTATGCGGCCATTTGTTATGTGTTCCGTCACCCTTACTTGCAGACCACGTTTGCTGATTTAAGTCTCCATTTCTACATGAGACTATTTGAGTCGTCTCTAAATGGTAACATGATGTAAACTCACTTTTTAGGTGCCAGAAGCGTCATAGGTCTAATCGTGTTGTAACTGTTCCAGCGTATTGTAAATTAATTGGATAACTATTATTCATGAATGTTTCAGTCAAGAGCTTTGGAATTACTTCAATAGTATCGCTAGTACAAATATGATTGATTCTATCGAATAAACCCTTTATTAATTCACATTTGTAATGAATTGGGCAGTGACTATGCAAATTATGATATTGCCCTGTCCATGTCGGCTTTCTATATACAGAACATTCTGTGGAACCACCATCTCTTCTACTAATCAGCATGTCTAAAAAAGGAAGCTGGTTATTCTTCTCTCCTTCGCATGTAAGAGAAATATGCTTTTGACTTGTGTTGAGTTCTTTAACAAGCAATTCAGATTTTTACGTTTATCCCCTATGATTATTATGTCTTAAACGTACCGTTTATACAGACTCATCTTTTGAATTGAGTCTTCAGCTAGATCTTCAATATATCCTATAAACACATCAGCCAGTACGGGCGTATACTAAGGTTTATTGAGACCTTGACTATACGGAAATTGAAACCGTCTTTATGCGTTCAAAAACAATTTATCCTTACACTTAACCTACCCTGGTAGTACTGACTTATTATCCAGGGTGGCTGTCATATTGTTTTATGTACTTTATTTTTCTTTGTTATGGCTTACCTTTAATCTGTCTAGTTGACCTTTTAGTTTTTATATAAAAATGTCTTAACAAGTATATGTGTGATCAGATTGTTCAAAACGCATTGCACAAATATATCGCATAATCTTGTTACCCTTCGTCTACACATTGCATTATCGAAATTTACTAAAGGAACTAATTTTTTTCCCACGCACTCTCACCTATATATTTATCCTGATTATTCATCACACAATCTCAACCGATTGTAGTACATACATCAAATATTTGTGATTTCAAAATTTATAAACTCCAACTTGCGAACTTATTTTAAAAATTATCTTGTAACCCCTCCCCATTATGACTAAATAAATGTTCATAATTGATTGATTCTTGTTCATTCATATTTGTGTTCTATTCAGTTCACTTCGATACACTCCCATATGAATTTAGTCATTTTGCTTTGTAATAATCTTGTAGTGTTGTTTCCAGGGTTTGAAAGTTATATTTTATACAAGAATACAGATTGGTTGTTGAGATTTTTTTGTACTTTTTATATCTCATTCGCACTAGATTAGGATGGTTACGTAACAGCTACTAATGTTTTTAAGAATAAAAGTTCATTTTCGTACAATATTCGTCTAATTAAGGTCAATCAATTTTTTCCAGTTAAATGTGATATCGTTTAATGTAAGATAGATACTTGATGCTGGTTTATGTAGACTTAGTTAGACGACTGTTGAGGGCCATAGGGAAATGTTTTGGCTTAGTATTGAGACTATTCATCGTTGACACCTACGACCCTACCAGTCGTTCCTAACTTCCTAGCGTAATTATGAACTGGGATGTTTAGTCACATAGACTAAAAATTATTTTTTAATCAAACGTGATCTGTAGTAATTGCTAGATGATATGACATTGGTTACTGCTGATGTCTTAATTGGCATAATTGTTAGATTCAAGTATATATCATTGTATATTCTAGATCAATTAAAGAAGAAGAATGTATTTGTAAAATCTCAGCGAGAAAATTTGACGTAAATCCAACGTTTCGCCTGACAATCTGGTCCAAGCTTTTTCAAAGAAATATAATCAAACATGAAAATTATCGAATATAAATAGGTACATGGTTCTCAGGTTCACTGTATACTGAATAGGTCATCCAATCAACGTTAACAGTGTTTAAAGTAGGTATTTGCATTATTGTGTAAGAGACATGTGTTGTGAAACGAAGTGCTAAGATAACAAATTGTGCGTATACGTAAGTGAGAAGATAATAGTTAGCTCATAGTCCAATTGACAGATATGAAGAAAAACAACAGACATAAAGGTCATAATAATAAAAACTGAATAATAATCAAGAAAACTTGTATAAGGCAGTAATAATAATAACCGATTAGTTTAAAATTGTAAAATAATAAATCTTAAAAAAAATTCAGTAATAATCAAATAAAAGTGCAGAAAGAAAAAAACAACCCAAAAACACACCATCAAGGGAATTAGGGCCAAGGAAGGATGAGAGTTTGGACGAATCGTTTCTGTCACCCATCAATTCAACTTACCTTAGAAGCAAACAATCAACTTCATTTTCTTGATTTCCGATTGAAAAGAATGTCGAATGGTTTCTTACAGAGATATATATATAGATAACCTACCTGGAATGTACAATGCACGAATTCCCATAGTTGGGTCACACTGAGTAGGAAGAGGAACTTAATTCACTCTATCCTCTAGGATCAAGCGAATTTGTACCAGTGGCACAATAGATGAGGAACTATCTCAACTTTGAAAAACTCTCATTGGAAATGGCTATCAACCTAGATTCTTCGACAGCAACTTAACACCTAGACTTCATGAAAAAGCATCGACAGTACGGAAAAAACTTGTTTATGAATATGGAATTTAAAGGAGACACGGCTGCTGAAACCTTAAATAAACGGATTTCAACATCGTTGAATAAAACGTTCTACGCAGTCAAACTCCGAATTGTTTTCTCTAGCCGACCGACCATTCTGGGATGTGTTAAAGATAAACTTCCGCTTTAGGCCACATTAATGTGTATTTATAAATTTACTTGTTCATGTGGGGCACGTTACATAGGCCGCACAAATCGATCCCTGTCCAAACGCATCTCAGAACATTATTCGGCTTGGCTTTTAAGAGGAGAATGTAAAACAATTACTTGTTCTATACAGGTGCATTTAATCAATTGTGGACAAATCGCTCCAAAAGATTCTTTTAAAGTAATCTACAGAGTCAAAGGAACTGGATCAAACGGGTGTCGAATCAATATTTTATGCACTGCTGAGGCACTGACAATCCACGAACTCAAGCCTGAACTTTGCGTGCAGAAACAATTCGTCCAAACTCTCATCCTTCCTTGGCCCTAATTCCCTTGATGGCGTGTTTTTGGGTTGTTTTTTTCTTTCTGCACTTTTATTTGATTATTACTGAATTTTTTTAAGATTTATTATTTTACAATTTTAAACTAATCGGTTATTATTATTACTGCCTTATACAAGTTTTCTTGATTATTATTCAGTTTTTATTATTATGACCTTTATGTCTGTTGTTTTTCTTCATATCTGTCAATTGGACTATGAGCTAACTATTATCTTCTCACTTACGTATACACACAATTTGTTATCTTAGCACTTCGTTTCACAACACATGTCTCTTACACAATAATGCAAATACCTACTTTAAACACTGTTAACGTTGATTGGATGACCTATTCAGTATACAGTGAACCTGAGAACCATGTACCTATTTATATTCGATAATTTTCATGTTTGATTATATTTCTTTGAAAAAGCTTGGACCAGATTGTCAGGCGAAACGTTGGATTTACGTCAAATTTTCTCGCTGAGATTTTACAAATACATTCTTCCTTTTTAATGTCTCACATCAACTCGGCGCCCAAATACTATGAAACTATTTGATCAAATTTAGACGAAAGTTCTTATTTCTAGATCAGTTGTTCGGTTTAAATCATTGTGCGGAGTTCTTAAATAGACAAAAAACTCTTCTTGTGTCGGTTAACGTATGAGGGATTATATTTCATTAAAATAGAGAGCGTTCTTTTCGATAAATTCTCATCGAGTCCTACATTCGAAACTCAAATCAATGCTCCAAACAGATGGCCCAATTTGGGGCATATACATTTTTAAAAAATCACGACATGCAGAGATCCGGAATTTCTCGAATATTTGCTCCACAGTGGTAGTTAAATTGATGGGTGTAAAAGGGGGTGACTTGTCGCTTCAATCGGTGCGTACGTTAAAAGTTGTTTTTCCTGTTTAGTTTCCTTCCTAATGATCCATCTACTATCTTTGTAAGTAGATCTTCTAGAACGAATGACTCCAGATGAACATAATACACCCTTTTGATCTAATTATGGACTACCCACTTTATTTTGTAAAGTACTGGTTTAATTCATATATTCTATAAATAATAATAGTGCTAGTTGGAGGCAGCCTACTGGAAACCGTTAGCCTTGGTTTTGTGCTAGTTGCCATTCCCCATCAAGACGTATCTGGAGTCTTGGAGATATTTCCATCTATAAAATTCGAACCAGCGTCATTGGCTCTACAGTCTAATATGTTACAATGAGCTATTCGGGTCCCAATCGATTTGCTCTCATAGAAAGAATCAATTATCTCAAGACTGCGAGTACGTTTTCCTAACGATTGCTACAAAACCTAGGTTCATGGCATCCTGCCAACTGCTCCCAACTAACATCTGCTCATCGTGCACGCTGTGGAGTCCCACTGGTGTCCACATTGGAGCTTGATCAATAGAATTCGACCACGGCTATGGTCCAAATAATTACGACATTGGTCACTATTCAACATTCAGTTTGTATTAAGCGTGACTCATACTTATTTTGTGATCACCTGACCTTGAGCCTGCAATGTCTGGAAAATAAAAGTACACTGAGCAGACAGATTAAATCTTACGATTCCTCAGTGCTAAAGGTTAACATTATCTTATGGGAAATTTAACTAAATCAATAATTCTATTCCCAACTATATCACTTTTTAATAATAGACAATTCATATCAGAAATTTAGATCATATTATTCATCTGTTTCCTATTGGTACTTATGTTATACAGGCGAGACTATAATTTATGGACTGCCTGTGAGGGATACTAAAGCGGCTATTAAAAGCAACCTCTTTCTAGGGTCGAGAAAAAGGTTATAAATTGATGTGATAGATTGTGATTGAGAAATTGAAATATTAGTTACGTTTAGACAATTAACTAACATTTTATCCTGTAACATTTTACTGGATCATTGTGGTATTTAATTCGCAACAACTAAAGTGCAGCCATTTGTAATTGAGAACTTTCTTTGGTTAATATTTATTAACCTCCCTAGCGTAATTCGATTCAAATTGTCATATTATTTAATTTAATTTTGTTAATATGCAAGCGCCCCATAATTTTCTACTGGTAATGATACTTCCAAATGTAAATTCATTCTTCAAAGTCAGTCGGTCATTTACAGCGTAGAACCAAGCACATATATGTATCGGTCCAAGTTGCCATACCTCATTAACACAACAAGATGAACACCAAATTCATGGAAGCAGTTGCTTCAGTTGTATAGTAATATGTAAAAAAAATATTGCATATAAGGATATGATACAAAGATAACTAATTCTAATCTCATGATTTAAGAAAAGATAAAGTGTATGCACCAACGCGATTGTGATCGGTTCTGAGCCATGTCACACAGAGTCCTTCAAAGCACCGACAATCGTTTGCAGTTACTGTCGTTTCTAAATTGATTGTTTATGAGTAAGGTCAGACGAATTTCTCTTCAGCAGTCTGATCGCACAACCTAAAACATTATCGAAATTAGCGGCTGAATCTAGCGGTGGGTTAGATCTTGTTTTTTAAGTTATCTGTGAAGAAGATCAATGTAGGAGTTACAACGCACTGCTTTGTGATCTTGTGCATTCACCTAAGTTCACGAAAAGTTTTACGACGTTGGATTTGAATATATGGGGATCACCTTCGTATTCAACGACTTTTAGCTAAATCTTGGTAGCCTCATCCAAACTAGTAGATCTTTAACAACTCATAATGGTTAGCTCTGAGAGCGAGTGGAATCATGTCAGATTCAGATGAACTAAGTGCTCAATAACTACAAGCACCTATTGTTGACGAAAGCAGATGCTCACTATTCCTGTGTACGTTAAGTTGGACTGGACCATCAACATTCCATCTCATACATGAGTTAAGCGTTTACTATAAATCCAAAATGGAGCGATGTAACAAAACGATTTAATGTCAGAAATCCCTTCATTGTATTCAAATCAGTCTTACTAACGAACTTTAATCCATGGGATACGTGCTCATTCGATATGTCTGAAGGCAGTGTATGAAAATTCAAGCGAAATAGAATGATTTCAGATCTGAACAATAATCCATAGATCAGTTGTAAATACTTCTTGACTATTACTGGGATATCGTTTTGCGTTTGTCGGGTTAGCATCTATCCTACAGCACTTTTGATTAAAGTAGAATATTCAGGTGAAAACGTAACAGGTACTAACGACCTAAGTTTAAAGAAATAAGCACTTACCACATGAGGTCCACTCAGTGACAGAAATTAGTAATTAAGTGTCAAAGTTAACATGGTTTAAAATGGTTTACAGTGATGTGTATGTATTCTTTACCCTTATTAGACCTTTTGTAAATTTTTTGCTCTTTGTCGATTTTTGTTTTTCTTGATCGATATTGGTTTTACTAGTTTTTATTCGTTTTCATTTTATTGTGTTGCTGCAAATTGTGATAACTTGAATTTGTTCTCTTACGCTAAGAAATCCTATGTTTAAGTAATAGTTTCAATCTTAATCAATGAGAATTTTTCCTTATATGATAGGAAGGTGTAGACTTTTCACTACATATGCTGTGTTATAGACCTCACTTCTTTGTGAATTTGATATCTATTTATTTATTTGAACACATAAATATTGATACAAGAAGGCACCGAATGCATGTGCGCCACACAAGTCACTTGGTTTGTGTATGGGCTTAGATACTGTCTGGGTGCCCATACCGAAGCAGATAGTTTTCTTAGGGGGCTACGGCCAGAACCTTCGACCTAAAGGTCTGATCAACAATGCAGTGGAGCAACGTCAGGAGATGCAGTCCCATGGTGGTCGGTGACCAGCGATTGGTTTATGTTTATACACCATTTTTTCTTTCAGAATCATGGAGCCATGTGCAGAGCTGAGTATTTTACATTGAAATATGTATGCAGTAGCGGAGTGTGGATCTTATTTAGTGGGCGCGACTATATAGTTCATAATAAATTGTCATATACGTAATCTTCACAGATTTAAATCATGGGTCAGTTGAAGCTAGACCACCATTGAAAACCTGGAAGCACTGGACGGCCGTTTCGTCCTAGTATGGGACTCTTCAGCAGTCTGTGAGATATCAGCTCACTGAAGACAATGGTATATGGTGGCGCAACTTCGTGGATTGGTTGAAGTTAGACATTAACACCGTTGGATGCCGGCTCAGTGGTCTAATGGTTAAGTGCTCGCGCGCGAAGCCAGTAGGTCCTGGGTTCGAGCCCCGCGTGGTGCGGGTTCGTGAATGCTCACTGCTGAGGAGTCCCATACTAGGACGAAACGGCCGTCCAGTGCTTCCAGGTTTTCAATGGTGGTCTAGCTTCAACTGACTCATGATTTAAATCTGTGAAAATTTCTAAAAATCTCCACAAACCCCTTCTGATAATATACGTAATCTATCTAATCTATACTTAAGCTTCGGTCTTAACCCGCTTTAAAATGTTTGGCTCAAATCAATCTTATCCTCATCAAAATACTCTCCATCAGCGATAATAGACTTTTCCCTTATTTGTTTCCATTATCACAAATGTTCCTCTTCAGTGAAACACTTCATTTGCATTGTCGTCTCATATTTCATCATTCACGTTTCGTTTTGTAATTTCATCTCGATGTTTTAGTGGTGAGAGCACCACCAATTCTTGTTCAGTCAGGTGTAGGTAACTTCGGGCCAATTTTCACACACAGGTTTCTTTATTCCAAATGTTTTGTTTGAATCTTTTACATAGGCACTAACAAAATTCAATTCACCACTAGTCCGTGCAGTAAATTGACGGTCGAGAAGCATAAAACATCACGTTCATTAACAGAGGAATTCGATGGTCATTCATCGATAATAGCTGTAGTAGCTTAGTTCGCATATGTACCAAGGGGAACATGTATTTCATTTCTACATACTTTGAAAATATTTTCTTTCAATAATAGTAATTCTTACTTTTTTCTTTTTCTGTTTGCAGTGTGTTGGTACGGATAACTTGTAAATGGAACATATGATACAGGGTGGAACTTGTCTCTTTCATCCGGTGATGACTTACTCGCCACAACTATGACAATTAGTATTATTCTTGCACACTATTTTTTCTAAAACTTATTTTGTATAGGTGACTTGTGATTTCATTTTGTTCTTTTTGTCATTTTATTATTGGAAATAGTATTATTATAGTTATCAGTAGTACAAAAAATACCACAAAATAAATCAGTGAATTGTTAAATTTCATCTGCTCTTTTGTAAAATAGTTTATAAGTTTTCAGTAACATAATGTGATCTGTACTATATTGTTTACTTGGTACCGCTGAAATTCGTTTAAACTCATTTTGTCTTGATTGTCTTTGTTACTTTAAAGTGAGTAGGATTTATGATTGAATAAAAGTTGTTTTTTAGATTCAATCTTTGTTTTGTTAAGTGAAATGAAGTTGAATGTTGAATAAGGAAATATTTCGTGTAGAGATTTGTCCATAATAATAATAATAATAATAATAATAATAATAAACTATTGAGTGGTTTATGGTGAAAGGTGTTTCGGCTGTTCATGTGTTTATAAGCTGCGTAGTTGTTGATAGGATTAACGATGATATTTTATTTGACGAGGGAGTACAATTCATATATAAACCAAACAGCCGTAAATAAAATTATTACCATAATTTGATGTTGAACATTAGAAATTCCGATCGTGTATACAACTAACAGTTAATGCTGAAACAGTTCCCACGGGTAAGAGGTTGATATATGTTAGTGAGGATGACTCTTGTTCGTTAAGTCTAAATTGACCTGTTTATCTTCGTGCTTTGTGTTTTTGTAAGTTGGTTCAGTATTTATCAGAGAATCCCAGTCACTTAACATGTAAATATATTTCTGGATTATGAATAAAATAGATATACTTTAATAGTTATTCTAAGTTGTTAAGTTTCATCTGTGAATTTCGAGTATACTCACAGGTATGAAGTTTTTATGGAATGACATGAATATCAACATATTTTTAAAGCTTAGATATCACAATTTACCATCAAATGTTTCCATAATCTAACCGATTGCGACATTTAGAAAGTCAACTTTTTTGTTAGTAGATGTTAATCCACAAAAAAATCACGAGTTAGATATGTTGGATCTTACCATTTAAGCTTACAGTGGTGATCTCTGTGTACTGAAGGATAGATTAAGATTTTAGTGTATTAGACGAAGGCCTAAACTTGCCGTACTGTTTGTTACCTTCAGTTCAGTTATTTCTAATGTTGTTTTTCTAGAACGCTTTTTGATGAAACTATATAGTGTAAAGAGTTGATGTGTAGATTTATGTATATAACCAGATCGTCCAAAATGTATCGGGCTAAAATACCTTATGGCTCTGACAAAATAATTTTGGTGTTAGTTAGCGGCAATCGACGTAATCCCTAAATCTATGTTACGAGTTCACTGGCGTTCGTCACTAAGGGATACTTACAATTCTGAGCAGATGGATTTCTTTCATCGCCTCACTGTGTTTTGATTGATACAATTCATTTAGCATTGAATACTTGACAGCATGATATTAGTTACTACTACTGGATTAATATGCATTTTGTCTATTTCTCCTTAATGTACTCTGTATTTTTGAAAACATGAAACTTTCCAACAAATTTGCGAAGCTGACTAGCATATATACATGTAGGGCTGGTAAGCCAAGCCTGAAATACATCACTCCCAATTGAAATTCTTATTTAGCTTCTCTTTATCTTGTGTGAAAACAAGTCATATTTTATAATTTAGCCTTCTAAAATATAAGTTGACTAGGGTTTTTTATTTCTAGCCTTATGAAGTATTGATTTACAAATGATTTTGGGTACAGATTTATTTGAGCTTTATATATAACTATGTGGTTCAATGTGTATCTGATGTATTCCGTGTACGTCTCACTATCAGAAGATACTGACACTAAACCTTTTTATTGTTGAGATTTAATGTCAGTAGGTAAATGAATATTATATTACGTTGAGATTTGACCAATGCATTATTTATTACGGTTGACGTGCTGATATACAGATGAAAATATTTGTATCTGGGATATCGTACGGAAGACATCTTTTCACGTTACAACTCGACGTAACATCACAGAATATATTAATATTCATAAACCTTTGCCTCACAGCAGAATGATTAACGATCATCTACATTAGACTTCGACGTAGCCACTTTTATACTTTGTCGTAAACAGTTTTTTTATTAATTATATTTGATACCAAAAATTGGTCCAAAGAATGGAACTTTTTTACTACATGTTTATTTGTAAGTGTACAATCCACGTTACCCTGAATCTTCTAACTTCTTGTTTTCAGCAATGAGTATATCAAACATTTCACACTTATGGTTGTAACCCACTTATCTTTAGTTAAAACGCTAATTCTAGTCACAAGAAACCAATTTAAGTTTTGCATTAGTCTGTATATCAAACGATTTAAAATGAATTCAATTTCGCTTCTGAAAAATCTTGTGGTGTATGTTTGTATTTGGTATTTTAGAATTTAGACGTAGTTTACAGCCACTTGGTGTTCATTTATTTCGGTAGGAATCACAGCAAGGTGGGATGATGACAGAGCTCACAGTAGATTTCAAGTTGTAATACAGGCTAACTTATCATATTATTTAAACATTCTGTCAGTAACACATTTAGGTACATTTTCGTAGTATTATATCTGATTGAGACGGGAAGATTTGAAATCATTCTGGAGTTTTGTTCTCTGAGACATATGGTTTGGTCATGGAGCTTCCATCGTTCTTCTGAACAACATAACCAGCACAAACTTCAGATAGAAATCATTCAGATACCAGTATATTAAGAAGTACCTGTGTATTAAGTGTGGTTTTTCGTAAGTTTATGTTTGCAAACATGTGATTTTCTCTCTTGGGATTGTTTGTTGTCATATCCAGTTTCCTTAGAAACATTTTAAACAGATTGCTTCTTTAAGTAGAAAGAAATTAGAGTCAAAAATATGGGAATATTCAATTTGACTGCTTCAGGTTCATGATAAAAATGTATATATGATCGAGCACAGTAGTAGTTCCATTTGATTTTTATTTCTTTTCAGGTCTTAACTATTTTCTCCGTAGCGTTGAAATTTCATGGTCCTTGAGAATTAAAAGTTAACATTGATTTTAAATTATGTATGTTTCACCTATCTTAACAGATTTTGTTATGACGGAGTTTAAATTAGTATTTCAAAGTCAGGGGTATAATTGGGAGTTTATGATTAAGTGGAGTCTCAATTTATTCAAAATTAAATAAACATTATGGCGATAAGCTGAGGTAAGGATTATGGTTAAAATTTGAAACTAATTTTTTGTAATTCATTTTTGCATTGGTTGTCTGAATCTCCCCGTTGATGTTTACGATTGTAATTGATCAGTCCTGGAGTGAACATTAACTCTGGGATGTAAGTACATTTAGCTCAGGAGTTCTAAATAGGATAAAGCGTGCATCATGGATTCCACTTCTAGACATCATCCATCTCCACTTATAATTTTTTATAGTTATAAAAACTAGAGTGATATTACTTCATGAAGTGTTCAGAAAAATCAAATATCGAAGGGTTGGTACGTGTTGTGTTAAGACGGGATGTGATATCAGTGTAAATGTTATTCAAGATTACCCCCTTTTTAATTCAGTGTAATAATTACTCAGAGTAATATTCTTTTTTTCAGTGCAATATTCTGTTTATGATAACATTTATTTTATTTAAGTATGGAGTTTACTCAGTATAATATTCTTTGTATTAATTTAGTGTAAGCTTCATTCAGTAAGATATGGATCATATGTTTTTCAATAATTCTTTGTATTTTCTCTAAATGTGATATTTATTAGTGTGTCATGAAGCGTGTGTAACAATCATTATGAAAAAGTCTATTTTTGTTAAATATACGGTGTTTTGATGGGGAAATAGGTGTTCTTTAGTCAGTTTCCGTGTACGTATTTCGCTTCATTACAGTGGTTACCGGTATCAAGTACTGCAGTAGCTCCCGGTGCCATAATGTAATGATCTAGCAGTTTGTGAAAGAATGAGGAGATCAAGTTAGTTTATGAATGAGCGACAATTGTTAACTTGGTGAATATAAAGAACAGGATAATTAAATTTTATAACTAACGCCACATATTGGTCTTATTTAAGCAACCATTGAAACTCGGGGACCAATAGATAGCTGTTTTTTTGTAGTATTGAACTCCTCAACCGAATCCCGATATTTTATTTTGTTTGCGATTTTTAACAAAAAGATACTTGACGTCAATCTTTTAATCATTGGCTGACATCCACTAGGGAGATCCATAAATTTCCTCGGAAAACAAAAAGGGCTCTGAAAACTCTGAGAAACATCTTATCCGATCAGCATCCAACGGGTTTTTCCAGAAACATCTAGAGGGTGAAAAGTCACATGTTGCGTTTAGTAGCGTTCCAGAATTTTCCGGAATCCCAACGCCATCCAAAATGCCATAAGTACTGTAGATTTTCTGTACATGAACGAACATTGGAGTAAAGCGTTTCTTCCATATTTCGCACCTTTTCTCTCGTGTTCAAGTTTCCGTGTAGATTAGCCTGGGGGTTACTAGAAGAGCTTAGGAAACCGAATCTAGAGTACGAATAGAAGATTTATCACGAATAATCACCTTAAGCCTCGAAAAATATTTGTGAAAGGGATGATAAAAATACTCTTTCTATGTTAAATGATTTATACACTTCATATTTACAATAAGTTTATACTTCTATCCTTAAGTGAAATTAGTAAAGTAATGGCTCTTTAATTACAATGTTTTTAAATTGAAAAAAGGTAGTCTACATATGGTAATAATGAATACAAGACCATATACCGTTTATAGGCAGTTTGTTCATTTATCAAAATAACAGTCTGCATATATGAAATAATTCTAGGAAAAACAAGTAAATATTTCTATAATGGCGTTTACTTACAGAAATGTTTACGTGGGAATAAACAGCTAGTTATGTACAAAACAGAGTAGGATCTGTTCATTTGAAATTCCTTACTTGCATAGTATTTTGATTAAGCATTTTGACTAGTTCACCATTCGTGCTCCATGTATTTGAATTCCTAATGATAATATTGTTTGTTCTCAAGACGGTTCATTATGATTTCAATGTATATTTTTTATGTATGAGAGAATTTGTCAAATTCAGTGAGATCATTAAATTCTGAGCACTTGAATTGTTTATTATAACTAAGTTCGTAATCCTTCGTTTCAGAAGGCGTATCCATACGATTATGAGATCTGATTAAATTATCGAGCATCATTTTAGATTCATTTTGTATATATGTGAAATAACTTGTAGAAACATAAGAAATGGTCATACAAATGCATTGAATATTAAATTGTTAATATTCGTAATAGTATTATTGAATAATATAAT